CCTGAAATGATGGAGCCCAGGGAGCCGTGCCACCAGGGCCCAGCCTGGAATGACGGGGCCCAGGGAACCCTGCCACCAGGGCCCAACCTGGAATGACGGAGGTACGCAAGTGGAAACTTGCAACTTTTATTAAATATTCATTCACCCGTTTGCCGCCACCACCCAGAGCAAGAAAAAAAATAATTATCAAAATAGAATTAAAAAACCAAACCACAAAACAAATTAAACCTGATCCCCAGCAGTCTAGGTATAGGCCACTCTCTGCCTCTCTGCCACAGACAGAGCGAAGAGCCACTGGGGAGCCATGGCCTGGGAACCCGCTCCAGCCACAGGCCCCTGAGGAATTAATTCTGACTGTGTTGGCAGGAAGTCCCTGATAAGTGGTTAGGCATCTTGGCCAACCTACCCCCAGGAGGTGGTTATTGCTGGGAGGCGCTGGGCTGAAGAGCTGTCTACCTTTCCCCTGGTGGCAGACCAGTCAGGGTGCAGGCCGGTCCTTATCCACCTAGTCCCCATCTCTCTGAGAAAGGGAGTGGACAGAAGCGAATTTTCCCCCAAGGGAGGAAAGCAGGTGTCCAGGGCAGCCTGGTGACCACACTGATTGTCCTCGGCCCCCACTGTCCGCTGCCTGACCCTCGTCTTAGGTGTGGCCCACAGCCCTTTCCATTAGAGGCCATTTTCCTGAGGCCCTCTCATCCCAGCAGCCTATGTGATCATCTTCTTGGGGTCAGCCACAGCCAGGGCCCCAGAGGCAGGGCTGCCTGTGAGCGCGACATCTTCTCCAGCACTGTGTGGAGCCGGTCCTCTCGGGTTCAGCAGCCACTCTCTGACACTGCGGTTTCCAGAGTCACAGTCCCTTGCTGCATGGCAGCGGTGGCTACACTTATGGCCTCCTCCAGGGTCTGCTGCTCCTCCAACTGTGAAGAGGGTGCACAGGAAGGACAGCGTGAGACCCCAGCCAAGGCACGTGTGATCACCTGTGCTTTCTAATGTAGGAAATTCCCCAATAAAAAGTCCTATTAGGCATGGTCTAGGGAGACCACAGGCTGCCTCAGGGTCAGAGACACCAGACAGCTTATAAAAGAGTAACTGGCTAGAAATGTCCTTGGAGGGAAGGTACTCCAGCCCCTCATTTCCTGAAGAGAAAGACTCAAGAAGATAAGGGCTTGCTTCCGTCACCCCCAAGGCAAGGATGTCCCCACTCTCCCTCAGACGTGTGGATGCTGGCAGAGAGGAATCCGAACGGCTTCACTACCCTCTCTGGTCAGGGACCCTTCCCTCCATTCTTCTACCTACCTGCACGGCGATGTGTGTTCCGTTAGCTGTGGCTAACAGCGCCACCTGTTGATGATGAAGAGATGCCACACTTGAGTCCTCAGTTACCAGGGCCCCAGAGGTAATGATTGTGACCTGAAAACACAGAAGGGAAGACCTTCCAGCTACCTGCAGCACCTACCCCTTCCCCATGCAAGTAAAAATACTCCCAACGGAGAAAGCCATTATAGGTCAGATTAAGCATCTTGGGCTCAGATTACACAAGGCTGGATCTTCAGTGAGGTTGGCAGTGTGGTAGAGATGGTACTGGAGACCGAACCTCAGGAGTGGCGCAGGCACAGCAACCACCAAGCTACAACCCTAGTGCTTTATGTTTCTGTATTTTGTGACACAGGATCTCTCTAAGTTGTCCAGGCTGACCCTGAGCTGTGTTAGCGCTGACTAGCTGGGATTACAGATGCAGGCCACTATGCCTACCCTGTCCTAGACACTGTCTGGAGATGGTCTGTTTTGAAGATGAAGGTTGCTAAGGAGATTTTTTTTTCTTTTTTTGAGACAGGGTCTCTCTTTGTGATCCTGTCTGTCCTAGAAATTGCTGTATAGAACAGGCTGGCCTCGAACTCACAGAGGCCTGCCTGTTGCTGCCTCCTAAATGCTGGGATTAAGGTGTGCATCACCACTCCTGGCTTTTTTTTTTTTTTTGGTAATAGGAATTGAACCTAGGACTTTGCATATACCGATAGGAACTCTGCTACTGAGCTGTGCCCACACCCCTTTTACTCTTTAGCTTGAGACAGGGTCTTTCTAAGTTGCCCAGACTGACCTTCACTTGTGATCTTCCTGCCTCAGCCCCCCAGGTAACTACAATTGCAGGCCTACACCACCAGCCTGACAGGGAGAACTTCTGTGCTATCTTCCTCATGAAATGTCTTGATTGGACTGCACGTTTAATGCCCCCCATGGGAAGGAACACAGAGAATAAGCAAACTGCCTGGTCATACGGGCTGAGTCTGGGTGCCATCGGCGCTGACCATGGTGACCGTATGTGTGCCAGCTGTGGCCAGTTCATCGTGGTGACTGGGGATGGTGAGGGTGGTGCTGCCATGCTGAGTCACCACACTGATGGCACTTCCCAGGGCCTGCAGGTCTTCCGGGGACAGGCTGACCTGCCAACAGGAGGGAGATGAGCTGGATGGAGCATCAGAAGAGGGCTGTATGAATGCACCCACAGGCCACCTGCTGCGCTAGACAGCTTGGCTCACAGTAAGCTGAGAGAGAGAGCTTGGCTGGGGACCAGGACCACGACACAGGGCCATGGTTGCAGAGAGGTCCTCGAAGGTCATCTCACTGGCACTTCTACTTCCCACTACTTTGCCCCTAGAAGCTGCTGCATGCAGGCCAGGAGCTCCACCTAACTTGTCTTCCTGCTCACTCTGGAAGGAAGAGGCACACTAGACAATGAGGTATGGCCAAGGGGCAGGATATTTTGTGACCAGCGACACTGGTAGACTGACATGGCCCTCTTGAGGGCATGCACGTCATTCAGATGAAGAGCAACAGCCTCAGAGAAGGAGACTGGGAGGAGCAGGTGACCACACGGGTCCCCGCAGTCTTAGCTCTTTTGAGTCCATAAAGGCAAAACAGGAGCACAGGTGGCGGTGAGGCTGAGAACTTCAGGGCTCCCCAGAGTCCCCAGACTGGAGGAGCCATTCTGAAACTGCTCCACCCATCCCCAGGGTCTCTACCTGCTGGGCACCATCCTGAGTGATCAGAGCCACCTGGGGGGCCCCATCTTCCTCGGTCACCATGGCTACTTGGGTTGGGATGTCATTGCTCTCTTCCTTCACCTCCGAAAGGTAAGCAATGTGGGCTCGTTTGGTTGGTGGGCTTTCCTCAGCAGCAGAGGCAGCTAGGAGAGGAGGGCCCAGGCTGTCACCTGCTGCCAGACGCCAGGAGAGGCCCTGTGGGCCCCACCTCCCCGCTTTCGGCTCCCTCACCCTCCAGCTGCTGCTGCTGCTCATACAGGGCCTGCTCACTCTCCTCGGTGGCCTCCAGCTCCCCATGCGCGCTGCGCTTGTGCATGGCCAGGGTGGAGGTCTGCCGGTAGGTCTTGCCGCAGCTGCTGCACGTATAGGGCTTGCAGTGTGTGTGCACCACGTGGTGCTTGTACAGGCTCGAGTACTCAGTGAAACGTTTTCCGCAGCCTGGCACCGTGCAAACGTATGGCTTCTCCCCTGGGGACACTGGGCTGTGAGGGGGCGGGAACTGGGGCTGGCAAGGGGAAAGCTAAGGGGATAGGGCTGGGGGACAGGGCTGGTGAGGGGAGAGCCAGGGAAAGCAGAGGAGCTGAGGACTGAGACTGAGTGGCAGGGGTTGGAGAGACAGGAGGGCATGAGAGTGGGACCCCTGCACCCAGAGACAAGGTAGAGAGAGCAAGATTGGGCTCAGAGAAGGGGAGTGAGTAGGGCATTTTAATGTGGAAGGGGTGAGGGTTTGAACAGCAGAGACAGTGGGGCAGAGGGAAGAGTCAGGTAGGAAGGGAGAAGTGGGCGCATGGCTGAGAAACGACAGAAAGCTGGACAAGGGGTGTGGCCCTGGAAGGGTCAGGACACAGAGCCATATGCACAGCGGATGCTTGGAGGGGACGAGGGTGACATTTCACTGTTTCTTCCAGGCCACCCCTGACCCTGGCCTCCTTCAAGAGCTCAGTGGGTATGTGGCTAGGAACTGTCCAAGTCCACAAAGGGTGGGCAAGACCTGTCAGATTAGACCCAACTACCAACGGGGAACTGCTCACGGAGGTCACAGTCATCTCGGGGACCCACCCCAACTCAGCCCGGAGTAGCTGGCAGAGAAGGGCTGGAGCTGAGAGGTGCCCCAATCAGAAGCCTACAGAAGGAGACGGGGCCTGGGAGAGGGCAGTGCTCACATGCCAGCTGGCCCACCTGTATGGATGCGCACGTGATTCTTGTAGTTGGTGGCACTGGTGAAGCCACGACCACAGTGGGGCTCGGGGCAGGTGTAGGGCCGCTCGCCCGTGTGGGTACGCACATGTACCTTCCGGATGTTCGATGTGGTAAAGGAACGGCCACAGCCCTCAAAAGGACACCGGAATGGGCGTTCACCTATGTAGACAGGGATTCAAGGGGAGGCTCAGGAGGACCAGGGCAAGATGGGATGGCCCTGGGCTCTGGGACTCAGTCCGAAAAACACCCCTGGCCGCTGTGGACAGCCTACCTGTGTGGGTCCGGACGTGCTTCTGCAGGTCTCCTGAGGTCTTGAAGGCTTTGCTGCACAGCTCCTCTGGGCACTTGTATGGTTTCTCACCCGTATGAGTACGGACGTGACTTTTTAGCCCATAGCCTAGCCAAGTGTGGTAGGAAGTGAAAAGAGCAGCCAATGGAACCTCTTCCCTCAATGCCTACCTTATTTAGAGGCTGTCTATCTAAAGTGGTCTTCTGGAAGGCCCAGGCCAACCTCTGTCCTGTCCTGCCCACAATGCCCCGTGATACTCCCTAAGGTCAGATGGAGACATTCCAGAACATGACATTCAGAGGGAACCTGGAGAAGCAGGACCGAAGGGTCCTTGCTTCACTGGGAAATCAAAGCTAGAAAGGCCTCAGCCCTCTGCGGCCCACAGCTGGCGCTGTCAGAGTCTATACAAGAGGCAGACTTCCGTACCCGTGCCCAGCCTCTCCTGAAGGCCCAGCCCCCACAGGCGCTCACTGGGAGCAGGTTCTTCAGAAAGCACACATCCCAGTGGTTTCTCTGGGATAGCAGTCTGAGCTGGACACCTGAGGAGGTCCCTAAGTGGATCTAGAACCCTTTGCTCTCAACTGGAAGCAGACCATGTCTTCATTCAGGTGTGTTACCTGTGGCAAAGGCCTTTCCACAGCTGGGGAAGTCACACCTGTATGGACGGTCGCCCGTGTGAGCTCGTTCATGTACCTGTGGGGAAAAGCAAACCCATAACTCAGCACTCAGTGTGATGGGAGATGGACTCAGCTCTTTTGTCCCTCCCACCATCTGTGTCTCGGCTTCCTTTGAACATGCCTCTTCCCTCCAGCAGGTGACAGGAGGCTGGGGCAGGGCAGTGCCAGGGTAGAACTACAGTCTCCCAGGGAAGAGGATAGGGCTAATTGTCAGTCCTTACCTTTAAGTGATGGGCAGTGGTGTAGAGACGGCCACAGCCCTTGTAGCCGCAGCGGAAAGCTCTGTCTCCAATCTGCTGCCCTTTGCCATTATGGGGAGCCGAGCTACCATGCAGAACCTGAGAAGAAAATCTTGGTGTCCCTAAACATACTCCCTGCGAGGACGAGGAGGAGGATACAGGACCCAGCTGGCGCCCAAGACACAGTGAGCAGAACTAAGTTTCCTGGGTCAGGAGCAGAGAATCTGAGTGCTCACATCTTCCGACACAAGCCCGAGACAGAGAGTGAACTGAAGTGGCGTGAGGCTTCAAATCTCCACGTCCACGCCCAGTGGCACACTTCCTACTGCACCTTCTGGGTGTCCCCAAACAGCACCACCAAGTGTTCAAACATTCTCACTCAAACCCGGAGCATGGCATGGCTCCATGTGACCACAGGCTGGACTCTAGAAGAGAAGGGCTGAGACAAGAAGACACACCAGTCCCTTGAGCAATGTACTTAGAACGGAAACTCCTTTCCAGAATGTTATATATATATATATGATGTGTGTGAGAGAGTGTCTCTGAGGCAGAGAAACACATCTAGACAAGCAGGGACAGACAAGCAGGCATACCACATGAAAACAGGGCTGGCATGGTCATGGTGCAGCCCTGATGGGTTAAGTCTGAACGTTACAGGGCACCTGGGAGGATCTCCTAGATAGCTGGGAAGACGGGAAGCTAGGTTGCTGGGATGGCTACACTTGAATTAGGCTGAGTTAGAAAGCTGACCACACACACACTAGGAGGCAGGGGTTCAGAAGCAAGTCCTCTTCTTCCCAGTGGGAGATCCTGGGAGGAGCACACACAGCGGGCACAGCAGGCACAGCGGGCACAGCGGGGACAGCGGGCACAGCGGGCACAGCGGGGACAGCGGGCACAGCAGGCAGGGATCAGAATCATCGGAGCCGGAAGTGACTGCTGAAATCACCTGATCCCACTTATTTCACTCTCTCAGCTCAGGTCTGGGAGGCAGTGACTCTCCCAAGCTGGACCAGGCAGTGGCAGAGCCAGCACGGACCTCACGGCTCTTGCTTTAAATAAAGCTCCGTTCTCTTTTGGCCTCATACTTGGTCTTTAATATTCCCAGGGTCATAGTGACTGAAAGGAGCTGTGACTGAGTGGCCTGAGGTAGTTTTGTGTTTCCTTTTGAAGAGGCAGGAGAATTTCCTCTTTTCTCCTACAGCTTATAAAATCAACTCTCCCAGCATGCAGGTTAGCCAGTGTTTGGGAAATTGCCCATCCACCCAGCTCTGTGGTTGGCCCAAGTAGGAGCACGCCCATGGCCCATGGGTTTTCTGTTCCTGTCCTCAGCATGGAGAACCAGAGCCTTCTCTCAGGGCTCCTGTTCCGAGAATCCTAGTTGCCCTGGTGTGCGTGGCCTGCTCACTGCCTGCTGGGTTTACTTCCCCAAGTGACTACGTAAGTCTCAGAGAAGCAATAAATACAGCAGCATTTTACTTTAGCGGATGGAAAAACTAATAAAAGACACAGGCAGAGCTTTTCCAAAGAACAGAGGATTATCACAGCAGCCTGAGTGGGTCTGGGTCTGCCTTCCTGCCACATGGAAGCCACTGTTCCCGAGGCAGCCTTCCCTCCTCTGGCAGAGTAAACAACAGTAAGTGCACACAGCTGTCTGTCACGGCCCCAGCGGTCAAAGGCACTCATGGGAGAAGATTGGCAGGAGCTGGGGCAGAGGGCTCAAGTGAGAGCAGCCGTGGCTGTGCCCAGGCACAGGCCTGCCTGTTCTCTAGAGGTGAAGTTCTATGCTTTGCTTTGGTTTGATGGATACTGTGTGGTCCAGGCTGGCTTCAAGCTCCTATCTCCAAGGCCAAGGGCTGGGATTCTAGGCTCAGACCACTACACTTGGCCACACAAGTAAGGTTTTGGCAGTGTCAAGAGGTGGTGGGCAGGTGAGGCCCCCTCTGCACACTCACCTTGTTTGCATATTGCTCCAGGGCCACCACTGTGTCTGCGCTGAAGCCCTCTTCGTCCTCTGCTGCCAGGTCCTCCAAGCCCACCTCTGTTTGCACAGCCAGGATGGTGCTGTCCGATGGCTCAGACACAGGGTGATGAATGTAGGCGGTGGTGCCGTCTTCCAGCTGGACAGCTTCCAGGGCGCTGGGGTCATAGCCCTCTACAGGGCACACGAAGTTAGTCCTGATGCCACACAGGGGGAGACCCAGCTCAGACCCTGACTTTAAATTATGAGTGGTAAGTACACCAAGGGGGGGGGGGTGGTTCAGTGTGGACTTTTCAGCTTTCACTATGTGACTTTTCTCTTGTTGGTCCTTCTGGGGCAGTCTCGCATAAGGACAGGCCTCCCAGGGTATAATGACTGGGACTCACCAGCTCCTTGAGGGCCTGGTCCACTATCTTACGATAAAGACTGAACCTCTACTCTCATGAGTCCCAAGGACTCCGACCTTGGCCCACCCTCGCCCCTCTGCTGTTTCCCAGCCTTCTTGCTCCAGTAGATCCTTGATGTGCCTCTCTTCTAACGTCACCTCCCACCTTCACTTCTGCATTCGCTGGTCCCGTCTGGAGCTGAGTCCAAGCTGCCACTTGTCTTCCCCAGGTCCCAGCTGCTTAGACTGCGGCTAGTGACCCCGGACGGCGCTACATAACTGCATGCTGGAATCGTGAGAAACTGGGCACCACTAGATGTTTCTGCGTGTGCAATGATTAAAACCTGATTCAAACAAAACGTGCAGGGATCTGGGGTGTTGCTGGAAGGCCTTGCTAGTGTTGCATCACGTGAACCCCTGGAGCCTCAGTTCTGAACACACAACACAAACCAGCCCTGCCTCAAACACCCAGTCAGCTCAAATTCAAGACCATGTCATAATCTGCAGCTTTAACTCTTCATACAAAGTGAATTACAGAAATAGTTATTAAAAATAGTATTTTTCTATTGTATCAAGTATCAAGTCAGTCTATTTTGGATTATATTGTGTTAGAGATTTGATTTTAAAAATTGCAATTTGACATGGCAGGGAAACCCAGAGACAGCTGACCCAAAGCTCACAGACTCTATCCCGACAGCTAGAGAGTGTGCATAGGACCGACCTAGACCCTCTGCGTGTGGGTGACAGTTATGTAGCTTGGTCTGTTTGTGGGGCCCCTAGCAGTGGCACCAAGACCTGTCCCTGGCACAGGAGTTGGCTTCTGGAACCATTCCCTGTGGTGGAATGCCTCGATCAGCCTTGATGCAGCAGGGAGGAACTTGGTCCTGCTTCAACTTGATATGCCATGCTTTGTTGACTCTCATGGGAGGCCTTACCCTTTCTGAGGAGTGGTTAGGGGGTAGAAAGAAGGTCAGGGAGGGACTTGGAGGAAAGGAAGGAGGGGAAACTGGTTAGTATATAAAATAAATACTAAAAACTTTAATCAAAAATTTTTTTAAAATGCAGTTTGAATTGTTGATTTGAATTTCATAAAAATTGTTAAGTAAAGCAGGGCAATGGTGGCACAGGCCTTTAATCCCAGCACTTGGGAGGAAGAGGCAGGTGAATCTCTGTGAAAAACCCTGTATCAAAAAACCAAAAGCAGGGCTGGAGAGATGGCTCTGAGGTTAAGAGCACTGGCTGCTCTTCCAGAAGTCCTGAGTTCAATTCCCAGCAACCACATGGTGGCTCACAACCATCTGTAATGAGATCTGGTGCCCTCTTCTGGCCTGCAAGCATACCTGGAAGGAATGATGTATACAAAATAAATAAATAAATCTTTAAAAAAAAAAGCAAACAACAAAAAAATTTCTAAGTGAATTCTGGCTTGGAATTAGGACAGAATTTGTGACCGTTTTTGGGAAGGCTCCAAACATCCTTCTGCCATTTACACTGCCTGATGTGAGGTGGCCCTTAGCAATGGTGATCACAGAACGAAACCACTGGTCAAACCTGAAATGCTGGAGATGTTCTGCACCCCTTATCCACCATCATCCTGTGGAGCAAACAACATCTGGCCGAGAGCTCAATAGGCAAACCTGCATTTGTCTGCAATAGCGGTGAATTTGAATGCATGCCAAAGAAATGGCTTTTTCTTCTTTAGGATTTAAAGACTGGAATGAGTGCAGAGGCGCCTGCGGGAGTTTATGTATCTCACTGTGCACAGGAGCCCGAGGAGTCAGACAGCATCGCATCCTCTGGAATCTGAGCTACAATCATTTGAATGCTGCCTGACTGTGGGTGCTGGGAACCAAGCCTGGGACCCCTGTAAGTGCAGGAAGTGCTCCTAACTGCCGCGTCATCTCTCCAGCCCAAACACTGTAAATTTCTTTATGATTTACTATCAGTGACTGCTTATGTGTATATAAATGTTACATAACTATATATCTAGGGCTATGTACAAGTTCTAGTGCAAAAAGGGGTCAGGAAGGGAAGAGGCTGGCGCAGCACAGCACCCAAGGAGTCTATCCGCCCTGGCTGTGTGCAGACAGTTCATTCACGACAGATGGCTAAACAGGCTGTCTGACTTTGTTCTGCTGTGTATGCTCCAGCACGAACACAGTGCCTAGGGTGTACTTGCCCACAAAACTACTTCCAATCTAAATGATTATTCTTTTGTACGTTAGAAACTATTTTCTTTTGGGTCTTTGAGACAGGTTCATTCTATAGCTCTGGCTAGCCCAGAACATACTAGTAACACAGACTGCCCCTGAGCTCCTGGCAATCCTGCCTCAGCTTCCTAAGCGATGGGAGTGTGGGATGAGCCACTACACTTGCTGGGGAGCTTCCTTCACTGCTGAAGATGAGCAAGTTCTTTTCCCTGGCTTGTGACAGTGCCCTCAGGTCCAACGCAGAGACCTAAGTCTTGATGGATGGTCTGGTGCCAAAGTCAGCACCAAAGCCTATGCCAATGTTTAAGACTTGCTGCCATCTTATGACAGAGGCAGCTGCTTGTGTGGTCTGCCCCAGGGAAGGCGTGCAAGGCTGCTCTCGGGTAAGTGAGGCTGTGTCTCTGGGAAAACAGTGCTTGTGTTGACCGCCCGGCCCCTGCCAGTTCTGACTCTTCTTTCCCACGAGGTGTGACGACCATGGCCCACCTTTGGGTGTGCGGTGTATGTAGGCCATGCTGCCATCCTCCAGCTGCACAGGCTGGCCATCCTCAAAGGAGAAAGATTCTGTAAAGAGAGCAACACCAACCATCCTCAGAAGCTTGCAGCCATGGAGGGTGCCTCAGGGAGGGCTGCCAGGCCTCCCTCTGAACAGGGACGTGCCAGGACGCCTCACCTTTCTGTATCGTCACCTGGTGGATGTATGCGGTGGTCCCATCCTCCAGCTGGATCACTTGCCCTTCAAGCAGCTTCTCTCCTGAGGAGGTGGAAGCAGAGAAATGGGCCAGGCCTGACGCAAGTCTACCACATGCTTGCCTGCTTTGGTAGACGCCTACGGAGTCTCTGAATTCATGCCTGTGACCCAAGCATGGGTGACATTTACCATGTTCCCTCATTCCTCACTTCCTAAGCCTCAGTCTGGAGGCACTAAGGGAAAAGACATCCTGCCACGGGGTAACCTTCAGGTGTCTCCTACAGTGCTCCAGCCAGGCCTGTGAAGATAAGGGCCTCTAATCTAACACAGAACTGCTGGGGTGGAGCTGTGTGTAGAAGAAAGGATGTCCTGAGACCAGGGACGATCCTAAATGCTAAAAATTCAGATACAGACCAAACTAACACAATAAAACACATCACCTCATTTTCCCTGTAACTGTATGCCAAACCTGGGTCCTCCAACAAGGCAGGCATTGGTATGGGCTCTGGAGCCGCCAGGACAAACCTCCTGAGTGTAAATTCCAGGTTCTTACTCATTGTGTGGCCCTGGGCCACTTATTTAGCCCATGGCTCAGCTTCCTGTTCATATTCCTTAACAACTCTCCCTTCCTTACATGGTAGCTGTGAGGACTGGGTTTCCTGGGAACGTGCCAGTGTATGGTCAGCCCTCCCTGAACTTCCGGGCTCACGACAGCAAATCTACTGTGCAGTTTGAAAGCCAGCTGTGGTGGTGCACACCTATAACCCCAGCACGTGGGAAGTGGTGGCAGGACCAGAAGTTCAAGGTCAGCCTCAGCCATGAATATAGAAGAGACTTTCTTGAAAAACAAACAAAAGAAATAGAAGTAAAGCAATAAGAGGCTATAGGTGTATGTGTGCACGTGTGTGTGTGTATGTGTGTGTGTATGTGTGCGTGTGTGCACATATGTGCCAGAGATCTACCTTGGGTGTTATCCCTCCATAAGCCTTCCCTTGTTTTGGAGACACCATCTCTCACTGGTTGACCAGGAGCTCCCAGATTAAGCAAGGCTGGCAGGCCAGTGTCCCCAGGGAGCTGCCGCCTCTGACTTCCAGCAGTGGGACTACACACATGTACCATCCATCGCACGCAGCTTTTTATGTAGGTGCTGAGAGTTGAACTTGGGTCCTCACGCTTATATGCTGAAAGAGAGAGTCATCTGCCTAGCCTGAGTGTTGCTATTATGTTATGGGCCCACTGTCATCTGAGCCATGTTCCCGTAACTGATCTATGAAACTTCAAGCCCTCATCTCTACCCCCAATCAAAGCATTTCTCGTTACAGGATCTTGCTGTGACCCAGGTGACCCGGAATTCACTGACCAGAAAAATAAAGACCACACAGCCGTGTGCCCTTCTCTCTCTGCCTTCTAAATGTCGAGATGATAGGCATGGGCATCATGCCAGGCTTTCTTCTCTTTTTCAGTGCTGGGCACTGAACCTAGAGCCTTGTGCATGCTAGGCAAGGGCCTCACTCATGAGCTGTATTCCCTAATCCTTGATTTTATCTTTTAGACAGGGTCTCGATATATGGCCCAAGTTATCTTCAAATTGGCAATCCTCGTGGGAACACAGATGTGGGCTACTGTGTCCTGGCTGATCTGTGGGCTTTCTTATCTCTTCTTTTCTCTCAGACAAGGTCTTGTGGTACCCAGGGTGGCCTCACAGTCATTACAGAGCTGAGGATAACCTTGACTTCCTCCCATCCTCCTGTTTTCACTGCCCAAGTTCTGGGCTCACAGGAATGAGCCAACAGGTCTAGGTGACTCTTGGAATTAGACTCAAATGCTCCCTGCTCAGGTGGTCCTCTCAGGAAGGCAGAAAGAGGAATGGGAGTGAGAAGAGAAAGCAAGAAGAGGAGATCGACAAGTTCATGCCAGAGACGGGTTTGCTCCTTCCTTAAAGATGGTTCCTTAAAGTCAGCAGAAACACCAGCTGGCTCATCTGCTGACATGCCCCAGCAGGGGAATCCCCAGCCTTGCCCCTAGAGGGAGTCTTCCTGGGTTCTCTTATAAAGGGCAGATGACTCATCAGTCATGGCCCTGGAGTTGTACACAACCTTGAATAACAAACGTCTTCCTGTTTTGGAAAGTTCTGGAAACTACAGGAGGGGGGCTTGGCTGGAAGAAGTGGGTCTCTAGGGGTCAGGTGGTGAATGTGTGCGTCACGTCCTCCTTCCTGTCTGCCATGAGGTGAACAGCTCTCTCCCACTATCCACAGGCTCCTGTTTGCCATGACATTCTGCCCAAGCAGGAGGTCAAATGACTATGGACTGGACACGTTCAAACTGTGAGCCAGAGTAAACATTTCCCTGTCATTTCTGGGAGGTTTTCATCACAGCAAGGCAGAAGAACTTACAGAAACGGGTGCTAGAGAAGTGGGTTGCCGGCTGTGTCCATGGTGTAGATCTTAAGTCTCGAGAACTTTTTGTGGGAGGGCTTTGTTAAAGTTTGGAGAGGCAAGCTACAAAAAGCTTAGGCTGCTGTAGGTAAAATTAGTGAGCAGTTCCTGTGGGAGTTCGGAAGCCCAAGATGCCAAGAGGCAGTGGTCAGTTGAGTCCAGGCTCCCGTGGTTTTAGATGGGAAGAGAAACTCTAGGGGACATGAACTGGAGGGCCATTCGCAGTACATTCTGGCAAAGAGCATTGTCCATGTCCTAATATTTTGAGTAAGGCTGAGTTTAAAAGGAAAAGACTAATTATTTTGGTGAAGGAAATTTTTTAAAATGTTTAAATGACACTTATTTGTGTGTGTGCATGTGAGTGTGTACAAGTGCACACACATGCACACACACTGCAACATGATGGAGAAGGCAGGGAACACATCCAAGAAGAACAATGGCAGAAAGACACAGAGAGGTGGAGGAGGCGAAGGCTTAATTTACGGAGGGAAGATTTACAAGAGGCAGCTTCTGGGCCAGAGAGCTTACTTCTTTACTGTTGTGCCCTTTTAAGACAGGGTCCCACTCTGTAGCTCAGGTTAGCCCCAGTCTCCTGCGTGTAGAGACTGTAGGCCTGGGCCTGCTGACAACCGCTTTTATTCATTCAACTACCAATTCTCTGTGGGAGTCACAGGGTCTAAGGAGAAACACAGCCCCACCTAAATTTTGTCTCTCACAGGTGTCACCAGAGGGACAGGACTTGTAACGGAAAGTCAGAGAGTTTGGGGCTTTAGCAGCATTGTAGAGAAAACACATTGGCAAGAGAACAATCCTAGACAGGCCACAAACAACAGACAGTTTCTAACAGGCCTCCCAGAAGCCTGACCACCTCAAGAGCTTACGGATGACATCTAGGTGTGTCTTACATCATTATCAAGAAACAAAATTTTAGGCTGGACATGATGACGAGCACCTTTAATCCCAGCACTTAGGAGGCAGAGGCAGGTGGATCTCTGAGTTTGAGGCCAGCATGGTCTACAGAGCGAGTTCTAGGACAGCCAGGGCGACACAGAGAAATCCTGTCTCGAAAAACCAAAACAACAACAACAAACAAACTAATAAAGAAAGGAAACAATTTTAAATGACAAAACAAGCAGTAAACAGGCGGCACCTGTAGACCTAGGCGCAGACGCTCAGCCCATGTACTGAAAGGGAGGCGGCAACATGGCCATAGGGAGAGCGGTGCTTACCGCATTTAGGAAAGGTGGGAGGAGACAACAACGCATTGGGCATGTCTGAGAATGCTGGAAGAAAGGAGGAGCACCCCCACCCAAAGGAGGAGCACCCCTACCTAAAGGAGGAGAACCCCACCCAAAGGCCCCTATGCCCAACAGCACTCTGCTGGCTCCACACTCGCCTTGATTTGAACTTCCTTGACAGAGGAGGCAGGATGCCAGATGGAACACTCAACTGCTAATCAAGTCTGAATTTCAAACTTTCATTATGAGAATCCCTCATCTGAAAATCTAAAATCTGCAATGCTTGAAATCCTACTGACTTTAGATTAGGAATGGGCAAGCTCAGGTCTGTGCAACATTCCAAACCCAAGTCTCCAAAACCGGTACATGTGGTCTGGTCCTGAACACTTGCATAAGGGATACCTCATCTGCTCTTTAAAGCTCTTTAAAATTCACTTTTACTTTTATTTAGGTATATATGTGCATGGGGGTGCTATGTATATATGGGTAACCTCAGAGACCAGAAGAGGGTGTTGGATCCCCTGGAGCTGGAGTTACTGGCAGTCGTGGGCCACCCAACATAGGTGCTGGAGACCCAACTTGGATCCTCTCTAACTGAGCCATCCTCAGCTCCCCAGTCTACTCTTAAGGATTGTGTAGAACTGTTTTATGATTTGATCCTATAAGTACATGGTCCATGCAAATTTGAGGACATACTTATACTACCAAAGAATCTGTTACTTATCTGAAACTCGAATTTCTTTGTGAACCCGACATTTTTATTTCTGGCACCCACTAATGTCAGGCAGCAAGGCACGAACTGCACGCTGGGGGGGTACCCCCTTCTGAACCTAGGGTATCTGGCACATGGTGGAGACTCGGGAAGACAGTTCAGGGCTTACACTTTCCTGAATCAGGATAGTGAATTGCCTTTATCTAGGAAGGACCATAAACTGAAATAGTTGTGTCTGAAAGCAGGAGGCCTCGGCTTGCAGGTGAGCACTTGCTCACCCATCCCATGGGGCTTTACTTCAAGGAGTTCTCTTTCCTCAAGTACATATGAGACCCTCACACAGAGGCTGCCCCGGGCAGGGACAAGTGGGCAGGAGGGCAGTGAGGCACTGACGCTACTGGAAGCGGCTGAGACACAGGACTCTGAGGTCCCTGACAACACTCACCTTTGACAGCTTGCTGGACGTAGGCTGTCGTCCCATCACTGAGGGTCACCGTCTGCAGCCCCAAGCTTTCCATGACAAACTGCCACTTGTGCCTTCAGACATGAAGTTGGCTTCCAGCCACCAAAGAGGTCAGAGATTTCCTTCTGGGTCACCAATCTGAGAAAATGGACAATGTCACATAAAAAAGCTTCACAGCGTCTTCCTGCTGCAATGACTGAGGCCAGCCAAGAACACACAGCCATGTTTCCAGAGAACTAAGTGGGTTCCTCTGGGAAGTGTACAAAAAGGACACACAAAGCTCTAGATGGTGAACGTAGAAGAACGCCGGTCAAGCTGCATGTGAAGCCAAAATCCACAGACCTGAACCCTTTGAGATTTGCTCCCTTTAAAGGCTGTAAGCAGGCAGCCTCCCTGCCTGGTTCTCTGGGCTTGTTCAGCGTCTGCCCTGTGCTCAGACCCATCCGTCCACTGGCACTGTTGACCGTCCTCAAGGAATAAGCAAGTCTCCAACAGAATTCACAGCGTCCCCATCCCAAGGATGGCAACTGCATCCATCCCATGGCGGGTCAAACCTGAGAACTGTCCTCCTAACAGTCGCTGACCTATCTCAGGGCAGTACCAGTTCTCAATGGTCAGAGCACCCATGTGCTCAGATGGTCCTGATCGCTTCTGGCTTGTTTTCTAATAGGCTGTGAGAATGACATTAAAACAAACAAACAAACAAAATAAAGCAAAACAACAAGAAAAAAAGCACAAACTTAAATAAACAGCTTCACTGATTAAAGCCCAAGGGCTTACTGAGAGAGAAGCCGGGGTCCCTCCTCTCCCTGGCGCCCACAGCCCTGGGCTCCCCTCCTTCACCACTTACTGTCACCATAACCTGTGTTCCACACAGGGCTCTTCTGGCTCGGGGTGGTTGCTCAGTCCCTCATGCTAAGGGATGCGCACAGGAGTGACTCACTATGTCCTAGCAGCATGGAGCATGGTCCACTGTAGACCCCCATACTGTGACCTGTCAAGAGCCCTCAGCCTCTGCTTTAGTTAGGATTCTCTTTTTTCATAAAGAGTGATTTATTCTTACAATTTTTGGGGGAAACTTTTAGGAGTTGGTTCCCGCCTTCCATCTTGGGGGTTCCTGGTATCAAACTCAGGTCATCAGTCTTAGCTGCAAGTGACTTAACCCACATGGCCATCTTGATGGTCCTACGATTCGCCCAGACTGCCCACCTGACTCATCCACCCTCCCAGAAGATACTGTTTCACAGAGATGTACCCAGAGGATGTTTTTATGTCACATAACACATGTGACTTGAAGCTAGAGGTGACAAGCTGGGGCTTTGGCAGCCTCAGGGGTTGAACAGATCAGTATCTTGGTGTAACTATAGCCCATCTGTGATACGCTCGCCGTGATGCCCCACCCCAAGCTTAGCATCTTCACCTGAACAACTCAGTCACTGAATCCATAAACGGTTACTATGTGTTCTGTGCTCCAGGGAGCAGCAACAGCAACAGCCAGCAGCACACACTGTTGGGGGCTGAAGGGACAGCAAGAGTGTCAACATGTTCCCTAGTTTAAAAACATTTCATTTTCTCTGTGTGCACACACGTGCACGAGGAGATCAGAGGACAACCTGACAGAGTGGGTGCTTCCGACTATGTGGGCTCTGGGGACTAAACTCAGGTTGGGTACATGTGAGCCACCAATCCATGGAGCCATCTCGCTGGCCCTACTTTTCTCTATTTCATAGTTTAGTCCTAAGACACCAATCAGCTTGCTCAGGTGGCACAGTTGCTACATGTGAGGAGATCTGAACCCATGCCATCTGATCGGGAACTCTTGAGAGCTCGAGTTCTCCACTAGCCGCTCCTGGGGGCTAAGATGCTGAGGTCATGAAACAAAATACTTCCTTGGAACATGGGCATCTACTTTTTCCTTTTCCTTTTTTTCCCCCCTTTTTCTTTTTTAAGAGGTTGTCTAAGGCTGCCACAGAGGCATGAAGAGACTGGAAATTGACACTTGAACCAACTCTCTAGAAACCAACCCACCTTTGCTCAGGTCTCTGCTCCTGGCCTGTCTTTGGCTATTCGACAACCCTCAACTCTCACTCTCTTAATCGGGGAGAGATTTTTGAGACCCATTTTACTATAACCATAATGTGTGGGAAATAAAGGACACGTAGAGGACTTGGCCTAAATACAAAACACACTGCAGGGTGAAGAGACAGAACAGCCTCCAGCTTTCATGGCGGGGCTTGTAGCTCCCACAGTGACAAGTGGCTCAATTTAGGGTGTCTGTTCTCCACTGGGCTCAGCAAGGAAATCTGGTGTGGTTGAGAGCACAGTCTCTATCTCTTAGAAGCTGTGTAGCCTTGGGCAAATGAACGACCCTCTCTGAGCAGTGACCTGCTTCCCTGGTTACTGTAAGGGCTGAGTGAGGCTGTAAGCGCCACTCAGCAGAGTGCTAGCACACGGCAAGCACTCCACAATGGAGGCTGGCTCTGAGGTACCGGGAGGAAGACACACCTGAGTTCACTCCCTCGTGAAGGAAGCGGGTGGTTGTCTGCAGAGCTGGTTTCTGGTCTTGATTTAGCCACTTGTCTGCTTCCTTACCCATTGGCCCAGATGGCCCTCGGGTCCTTCCCACTGCTCAGGCTAACACTCCCTTGCAGGTGAGGTACCGAAGCTAAGAGAAAGCCATCTGCCCAAGGTCCTAAAGCTCCGGCCGCTGACAAAGCCTGCCTGGCCTGTCTAGGTATGGCCTCCACAGGCCCTACTGATGAAGCATGGGGTGCAGTTAGCACTCAAGACACAACCTCACCCCAGTCTTCTAGGTCTGCCACGGGGAAGAAGGAAAAGCTGGGAGCATGTTTCCCAAAACAGCCCTTCTTAGACCCATCTATCTGCCTTCAGCCTACCTTCCCCTTCTTTAAAGGATGGTTCTTCTGAATCCTCCTATGCTAGCACTAAACTCCCAGGTGACCATAGAGGCTGTCTGGACAGTTCCTGCCTGCACTGGGCGGGATTCCGAGATGGATGGAGAAGGTATGAGTTTATAAGCCCTGCAGTGACCTGAGCTGGGGCGGGAGACAGCTGGGGAAGGTGGGGAGTGACCAAGAGTGCTAACAACAGGTCAGACCTAAAGCAGCATCCAGCCAAGTTCTGGGCTCCCCTTTCAAAGCACGAATTTAGCCTGTTGGCGGAATGCAGAAAATCACAGAGTAGACAGATACGGGGTGCAAAAGCTAGGGGACGAAAGAGCACACATGCTCTTGTCCCCCCTCTTTGCAAAGGTTCACTCTGATCTGGTCCACATCCAAACTTCTCACAGATGAAAAACGTGACAAAGGCTGATGGAACAAGGGGCAAACAAATCAGAAACAGATTTGGGAGAGCTGTGTTAACAAAAATGATTCTGTGTTTGTTACTCCAGAAAAGCACTTCAGTGCACATCAGGACGCGAGCCTAATTCTGTGGCTTTCTAAATGACGAGGAGAGAAGAGGAAATTAGTAACAGAAAAGTGCATTGCTCTACTGAGACGTAAAGCATTTACACACGTCTCTGTCAGAAAGCACACCGGCTTTAAAAGCCCAGCTCACGTTTGCATGGTTATGTGGCTATTACAACTGCAGAGATGGGAGCTAGTCTGCAGGAAACGGAGTGACTAGGTGGAGTGGATCATTCCCAGTTCCAAAGGACAGGAAATGTGGGCCCCTACCCTTACAGAACAGAACTCATTTCAACTAAAATGAAATCTCAGCTACATGTTGATGCAGGATTTAACACCTCAACTTGTGACAGCCAGCGTGATGATCACGGCCGGATCTCAGCCTCACTTCTTAGTCACGAAAGTCTAGACTCGAGGCATTTTAGGAGATTATACTAATGCTTAGTGTACCGATAAGCAAATCAGCAGAGGTACAGACTAGGGGTGGCATATATTTTTCCACAGAGTACAGAAAAACTGGGCTGGGCTCAGTTATAAGCCTCACCCACTCCTGACCATCATTCGTGGCACTGGAAAGTGCTGGAAGGTGCTCCACACATCACCAGAGGTGAAAGTAAGGATCGGTCTCATCCCAGATATGAATTCCATGAGCTACAGTAACGGCCGGCCTGCCTGCAAGTACACCCACTGGTACAGCAATGGCAAAACCTTACGGGAGAAGCCAACCACCCCTTGAGTGGCAGGCCTTTAATCCTAGCACTTGGAAAGCAGAGGCAGGGTATCTCTGTGAGCCCAAGGCCAGCCTATACTACACAGCAAATTCCAGGCCAGCAGGGATAGATAGCAAGACCCTGCCTAAAAAAAGAAAGAAAAAAATATTAGCAGAACAATAATCAAGGTATTCAACCATGGTCACCACTGGCTTGACGGGGATCATCTATGTGAAGAATGACATATTCTATCAACATTAGGAGGGACAGGATACTACCTTACACCATTTTATCAAGACATCAAAGTGGAACAATCTGCAAAATCTTAATAAGGAAGAGAAAGTAGTTCTGACCTTCAGAAGGAAAAAAAAGACAATGGATAAACATGGTTGTTAGGAAAATTAATAGTTGGGGAATATTTTAATAAAAGAACTATGAAATATATTAAAAACATAGACATATGCTGGGTGTGACAGCTCATGCTGTAAATTTACAAGGCTCATAGAGGAGGATTCCCCAGGAGGTTAGGGTCAGCCTGGGCTACGCAGTGAGACCTGTCTCAATAAAGCAATAAAGAAGGCAACGAGTTAGACATCTTAACACGAAGACATCCAACTGAAAACGAGCCGGCACCAGGAGACGACTAGACAGGTGAGCCCAGAGCACCGACAGCATCACACAGGCCAAAGGTGTGGACGGACTGACATGAATGTCCACCCTCTGTCACTGGGCATGCAAGAAGGGGCAGCCTTCAGGGACCACATTCCTTGTTTATCCAGATGAACTGAAAACACATCCACAGATTTGTTTATTCAAAGTTGCCCAAACTCACAGAAACCAAGCAAACTGTGGAACATCCTTACAGTGGAATAGTTAAAGTTTTAAAAAATGTGCATGTGCATGCATGTGTGTATGCATGCGCACGTGTCTGATGCATGTGGAGGTCAGAGGCTGGAGGCTGACATCAGGAGACTTCCTTAATCACTCTGTGCCTTACTTTTGAGACAGGTTCTCAGGAACCTGAGACTCACTGATTGGCTAGAGCGCTGAGGATCTGTCTGTCTCCAGCTCTCCAGGGCTGGAGCTGCAGATGCACACAACTGCATCCAGGTTTTATGCAGGGCCTGCCAGCAGTGAAGTTCGCTGGTGGCTCACCTGCAGAACTCTAGGAGGGGAGACTCACAGTCTCCAAATCATGTCCTGTGTGGCATCAGCACTTCACACACTGCAGTGCTCCGGGTTATTACTTACGAACCGAGGAAGAAAGGAGGAAATTTATCGTCAACATGATGCCCAGGCAGAGCTCAGCGGCCTCGAAGGCTCCCACTCCATCAACACACTGTCTTGTTTATTCTGAGCAGAAAATTCATCCATATCCACAATGGGAGCTGAGAGGACAGGTCCTTTCTAGCCTAAGGTGGCCATTTAAAAGAAGGGAGGCCAGGAACTGTAGGGTCACACAGCTACGTGGGTGCAGAGCCCAGGCAGACTCCCAGACCGCTTCTACATGCATCCGCTGCCCAGTGCTAGGAAAGGAGATAGTTACTAAGGCCCCACAGATTTGCACATTGAGCTACTTATTAACGGCTCTATTGGCTGCTTAAAACCACTAACGTGTTTATTCCAGGACAGCCAGGGCTACCTACAGAAACCCTGTCTAAGAATAAAAAAACATGAATTCCACCCAGATGTGGTAGCACACACCTTTAACCCCAGCACTCAGGAAGCAGCAGCAGGTGGATCTCTGAGTTTGAGGCCAGCCCAATCTACAGAGTGAGTTCCAGGACAACCAGGGATACACAGAGAAACCCTGTCTGGAAAAGAAAAACAAAACAAAAAACACAAACACAAAAACAAAACAAAACAAAAAAACCCTCATGTCATCCTCTGTTACATAAATTTGAGCCCAGCCCTGGGAAGGGGGGAGTGAATTCCTAATCTCACCCTCTCAATCTGACTTTCCGAACTCTTTCCCCTCACCATGAGAGAATTTCATCCTTCAGTTGCCCAGGCTACAAACTGGAGCTGTCCTCAACATCTTTACTACACATTCAATCCATCCATCTGTTGGAACCTCTTTGAAAATAAGTCCACAATTCAACAATTTCTCTTTTACTCCTTTACTTTGGATCCAAGCCATCAACTTTTCTTTTCTGGACCACTGCAGGAGCACCCCATCTATACCCACTGCAGGAACGTCTATCAGTTCCCACTGCAGGAGCACCCCATCTATACCCACTGCAGGAGCACCCCATCAGTTCCCACTGCAGGAACGCCCATCAGTTCTCACTGCAGGAGCACCCCATCAGTTCTCACTGCAGGAGCACCCCATCAGTTCCCACTGCAGGAGCACCCCATCAGTTCCCACTGCAGGAGCACCCCATCAGTTCCCACTGCAGGAGCACCCCATCAGTTCCCACTGCAGGAGCACCCCATCAGTGTCTGTCCTTCTCCTCTGCCCCATACAATTTATTCTCAACATGGCAGCTAGAACGAGCTTTCAGAATCTAAGCCAAATCATGCCACTCATCGCCTAGACTCCTCCAGTGGCTGGTGGCCTGTGAGACCCACGATCTGCACCCGATCTACTCCGCACCTCAGCAGCTCCCGCTTTTCATCTCTTGTCAGAACGCAGCCATTTCGGTACCACAGCTGGACCGGCTGGCTCTTCATGTTTTTGGAATATACACGGCTTATTTCTGCTTCAGGGCCTTTGTGCTTGCTTGTCTACTGTTAGGAAAATAAATTTCCCTCGGATATATGTCAGGCTCATTTCTAACTTCTTTCGGGTCTTTGCTCAAATGTCACCTTTTCAGGAACAAGTTCCTTGCCACTGTCTAAAACAAGAACCCTGGCCACTCTCTCGTCTGCATTTAATGGTTCCAATTGTTTTGTTTGCTTTACTGTCTGTCTCTGTCTCTCTTGTCTATTCCCCAATGGGCAAATTCAGTCTCCTATCCCTAGCACCTAGAAGAGTACTTTGCATACAGCAGACAAAATACTTAATAGGATGGATGGATGGATGAACACCCATCCCTTCAGGACCTCCAAGTAGGTCAGAAGGGGAAGATCCTTGTTGCACCTGGCTGGGCTCTCTAACCCTCTCACAATAGCCTCACCTGTTCCCAGGTCCAGTCCAGTTATTAACCACCAGAACCCTCTCCTGAACTGGGGAGCAGGGCTGCACCAGAACCCTCTCCTGAGCTGGGGAGCAGGGCCGCACCAGAACC